CCCTTGTCGTTCTTCTCGATGATAAACTATAATGCGAGCAAACATTAGCTTGAATATATTGTGGCAATGTTATGTACCTTGGGGGCTTCTATGCCTTGAGGTAGAGCAAATAGCTGTTTAGGGCGCAGACTGAGATCCTCGACGGGGAAGCGACCAACGTGACGGCCTTGCTCCTTGGTGCTGATAATGTAGACTCCGTTTTCGAGAGACATCGTACTATGTGGCTGACAAAGTAATTGAGAAATGGGTCGAGTGGTTGTTGCTGAGGTAGTCGCAGAGACACAGAGGACTTTATATACCTCGCAGCATCATAAAAATTGGAAGCTTTAGAAACAATTCCGTCTCTGCCCCACTTGTTTCAATCAATCGATGGCCTTTACGTCTACATAACGTCGGTGAGCTCCTGGTACTAGACGTTTTGAGACAAAGAACTGGCAAATGTGTTCGAAGTCCGACCTCATGTATGCGCCACTCTTGTGCAATTGGAGTGGATAAGGAGGTCATGTTGTGGCTGCCGACGTCAAGATGGGAGTGATATACCGAGCGTGCCACTTCTGGTTTATGGCCTATCCGAATAAGTGTCGGTGCATGAATCAATTTACGTCTTGTAAGAGTGAGACCATAGGGAACCTCGGTCTTCTAAGAGTAATAGAAATGGCCGAGGCACACTATGGGGAGCGATCGAGGGGGAATCCTTCAGCGGAGAAAGTATTCCCGTTTCGCCACAATGTGATTGCCTTAAGTGGCGTGATGGATTGAATGTAACTATGAGGGTTCCATCACGGTGAGTTATGGTACAGTACGTAGAGGGAATAAGGGTACCAATGTGACAGAGTTTTCGGGTCGTTCGCGAGGCATTGGACGCAAGTGAGCTAATAGCTGTGGATTGTGATGACATTCAATTCAAATGCGTTCTTCGATCCATGCTGAGTGAATCCGCCAAGGATCGAGGCATAATTTGCTATGCGACTCACTTATGTACAGCACAAACTGGATGGAAAGGGGAGTATTGTGCGAGACCAGAGTGGTGTAACCTAGACACGGGTATTCACACCACCACTCTAATCATCATCGCCCAAGTTTCTTTTCGTCCCGCCAGTACAGATTACCGGCTCAGACCTACGGTTTCTGTCAGCATGCTGGAACCCCAAATCTCATCTCAATGATCTATGTACCTACCGTTTGAAACGTCATCAGGGTTTTGAGAGAAATGATTCGAGATGAACGTGATCGACTACGAGCTTAAAGAGCATTTGTAAGCTTTGTAAAAGCCCAAATTTTAGATTTCGACTTCAGAGAAGGCTCATCGCAGGCCTTGCAATCACGAAATTCTCACTGGACCTTCGTCGCAACTCGAACTCTGGCCATCTGAATTCAAAAGCCCTCCCAGGCAACGAGGGGACCTTCTGGTAGAAGAAGCTCTCTCCAATATGGCAAGATGTCCAACGTTTTCCACCACATATTTGAGTCGCAAGTTTTTCCTGAATTTTCCTGGACGTTCTAGGATATTGACTCCGAGTTGGAAGAGTGACAATAAGCTAGCGCTAAACACTATATATCATTTGTTTGGTCATGTTAACTTTGGAAGCTCTTGACTAAATTGGAAATTCCTCCACCCATGCCGCCGAAGTACTCTCAGTGACCGACTTGATCAATTGTATGCCAGGAGAAGCAGGTAATATGAGTTAAGGAGCGACAGAGATATTGAGATGATTATGCACATGATGATTCGGTAGACAGCACAATAATCTATCTACGTCGACCTTCGAACCCTGACGCTTCTTCATTAACTCCATCTACAACAACAAGAAGGCCATCTCGCTCGAGAATCTGCCTCCAATGAGGAGTAATACCCAGATTGCGTTGCCATTGTCTGCGAGAGCTAATATCCTTTCGAGAGTTGTTGAGATAGTGTTGAAGCAGCTGGTGCTCCAGTTCCTTCGTCAACAACGCGCAATCATCGGTAAGGGGGGGTATTTTGTGACACAAGTAATTGAGACGGCGAATAGACAGGTCAAGAGAGACCGCGACATTGGCATTGGTGGTGGTCATAAGGTGCACCGCCTTGGTGAATTCGGAGAGTGTCTGAGAAAACAAATCGGACTGGGTCTTGAGATCAGCTATATCTGCATAGTGTATCGCGGAAAGCATGACATCCAACAAGATACCGGGAGCATGAGTCTGCTTATCGAGGACGTCCTGCTCAGACCTGGGTAAGCGTGGAAACATCGGCGATTGAATGGAACCACCCCTATTAATGTATTCCTTGATTAAAACGGGGATGGTGTTGAATATATTCGCAATCATCACTAAAACATTATAATGAGTAAAATATAAAATGCTCGATAAGTTGACTTACTTTTGGATTGGGGTTGACTCAGTTGGGGAAACCTTGGTATCTCGCGAATGGCCTCCCATCGGTTCATGTACGCTCTCATCGTTACGGGAGTGAAATGATAATCCAGCAACATACCGCCAATGAGAGGCCACAGGATCTGTACGTCACTATATTTCTCGTTATACGAATCCAAAAGGAAGTGCAACGCGGTTACTAGGTCTTTGGTGGTTGTCCCACTCCATGAGACATACCGTTGGACTTTGTCGATCAGTAATGGAACCAAACTCGGCACGAGTGATGGACCATATGAGGAAGGACGACCGATGGGCCACTGCTTTGGATCATCATTGTGATTGGCTAGTCGATACTGACGAACACCTTCAAGACATCCCACGGTCGCAGCCAGAGAGTATTCAGTATCCCATAATGCGCCAATAACCAGCAAGAGGTGTTCGTCTGTTCGTACCAGTTCATAAGTTCTGAAAAGATGGATGACATCGGTTTGTTTGTCGTCAGCAAGAGCATCTTCTTCTAGTCTTCTGGGTGGAGAATACAGAAAGTCCTCGGTGGGGATGATAAACTCTTTGGCCGCTGTCATGAAGGTGTCCACATATTCCTTGAAATTTCCTACAGCTTCGGAAGCGGATGCGAAGCCCTCTCGAAGCCATGTCGTCGCTTCGCTAAACCAGCTCCCAGGTTGCCACTTCCAGTTCATCTCATAACCATCATGACGCCACTCCTGAAACTGGACATAACTTTTCCAGAGGAAACCCCTGATACAACGGAAAGGGTGATTGAGTAGAGGCGTCTTCCAGGGACACTGGGGGGAAGTGAGGGGCGCCAGAGTGAACACAACCATAAGCGCGGCCCAGCCATAGACGAGAGCTATCACAGTGCCGTTCACACGTTCGTCCAAACTGAATAGTTCTTTCAGGCCGAGGAAGAACAGTAGCACCGAAAGTTGAAGCATGAGTGGTAGGATTGTAACAAGCTCGAATACGCGCCAGGTCTTTAGGCCTTCGAAACGAAAGAACCGAACCCGGAGATACACTTCAGCGGAAGTTTCGTCTATCAGGGATTCGCGGAGCCATTGTTTGAAAAGGATGCCGAAGGAACCAGTGATGACACTGACAATGAGACCATAGCACCAGAAGCCAGGAATACGAGTGGACGAGACAGCAGGAGAGAAAGTGGCGAGTTCAGGAACGCCTGCTATTGAGGAATTAGCCAGTTGTTGAGATATGCGCAACAGCAGCTGAACAGTAATCTCAGCAGGATCACTCTGAACCCGGTAATAGGATGCGACAATGAACACTGCTTGTATGATCGAGAGAAAGCCCGCCTGCAACCGGTGATTAGTTTGTTGTATACATGGGTCATATAGGCGTCACAGCGACTTACAGCAACCAGGAGTGTGCTAAGTTCTTCATTAGCTTGGCAGATACGTCCCTCGTCGATCTTCCTGATGGTTTTGGCAGCCGCAATGATAGAGTCTTGAGGATTGAGTTCAGGCGATTGGCGGGGTCCATAATCTTGTTCAGGTAAGGGATCAACCAGCCTAGGCATCTCATCCTGGACCTGTGTTGGGGTCAGCATTCTTGGCCATACTAGTGCACAAAAGGAGTGTACTTACTGTACCAGGAGGAGTTGGATACACAGGCCAATACTCTGGTGGCCCTCGCACCAGATTACCTGGTCCCGGATCTAGCCATTTGAACGTGGCGCAATGCGGGCAAGTATCCTTCAAGTTTGAGTTGGGAAATGGGCATAAACTGTTGTGAGCAGCCAGGAGAGGAGTAGGGTGATTGTTGACATCATCGAGGTCGATGAGTGTACCGGTGGCAGGGGTGTTGGCCTTGAGGAAGAAAGGTTAGGATGGTGTACTCATTAAAGACATCGACAACACTTACCAAGCTGATAACTTCGGTGCTACTAGAGCTAGACGATGAATCTGGATTACTTGTGGGGTGAGACATCCCCGATTGCACTGTATATGATGAGATGGTACGAGACAGAAAGGAGTAGAGGTCAACCACTTCTCAAAGAGAACCTTTTGTATCGGGACAAGTATTGTCCTGCCTCCCGCAATAAAGGAAAACACTTCGATATGGACCTTCTATAAACTCTCCTGGATAATCGGGTATACGCATTTGGCATTGCTATCCCCTTTGTCAGAATGACTTGAAGAGGCAGTAATGTTCGAACATTTGACGAGTCAAACAATGAGAGTGTCGCTAGTGGCAATGACTCGGAGGACCGGGTATATTGCGGTAGAATGCTACACAGGCTGAAACGTTGAAGATCAAATTTCGATCAAACGTTAAGCACAAAGACAATAACACCTACAATGGATGAGTATAACCAACGTTGACCGGTCAGAGGCTCAGAGCGATATTGAAGTCGTTACGACTTCAATGTCGTAAGAAATACTTAGCCACCAAAGATTAGGGCTCTTTGGTTGCAGGCGATTGGGTGGTTCTTCGGAAATGCATGACACCAAGTTTCACAATGAAATCGAGAACGTAGATTTACAAACACCGGATACCAAGTTTGAGTTGAACTTTGTATTGATTTTAGGTTCAGGGTCAGTACTGCATCTTGTCAGTGGATAAAACTCGGTTTAAACATAGTTATGGTCCTAACTAGAAAACTTCAGATATGTTCTTTGCTAGTATATCGGTTAGTACACGCGCCTGTCATACCAAAGCTAAAAGGCATTGTGTGTACGCGCGAAAGCTGGGTTCGACTCCCAGGCAGAGAGTACGTTTTTCTCTACATAGGATTTTTCTTTCTTCACGTATTTTGGTCGAATCGATCTTTGTTTCATTTCCGATTGGTTGTTTAGAGTTTTGTTATATATCTTTGGTAGAGTTTGTGGTTTTTGCATTCAGATGAAAGGTTTATAGTTGAATATGAAGGTATATTCTGAGATACTCTATAAGAGTTGAAAGTACACGACTAATCGAATGAGATATTTAGGGAGTTCTGGAAAGGATCGTGCCTGTGTGTCTTGTTGGCCGTTGTTATGAATGTTTGAACACTGCACAGATGGTGATCTCGTTTGATCCTGATGTAGAGGAGAGAACGGTGTTTCGATCAGTGGATCAGGCGGGGAGATCTCAAGCTGGTCAGGCACATTAGTACTGGTAGGGGACTGATTTACAGGTGACTAGGTCACCGTTTCCGTTTCGAACATGGGATATGAGAGGATAGGAGAGTGTGTGCTCCGAGCATCCCTCGTGAAAATGAGTGATGGATCACTATCAAGGGCCGGCAAATAAAACTGTCAGGAATGTTTCTCATTGGGATGATATAGATATATACATACATGAGGAATCGCAAGTCGAACGAACCTGCATTCTAGTTTCACGGTGGCCTAAAGATGTTCTCAAGGAAAGTCAAACACTCACGACAAGGACATGATAAATGGGAATGCATATGTATTGACTACGAATGACTGTCAGTGTATATCAACGACATGGATACAGTATATGTGTATATGCGTGGCTGGTAGTCAAGCATGGTTGCATATGAGGTGTTGATCGCGGACCGCGTTGTGAAGAGGGAGTGCAATCAGAAGAGAGACATGCAAAAACACAGCATTGAGAGGCATTGAGAGGAAGGATAAGCCACGTTATGAGCTCTGCGATCAGACTCGTGCTCTAGAAAGGAGGGAAGAACTGGAAAGCGGAGGGAAGTGAATAGAAAGGTGAGATGAGAGTGGCGGAAAAGGCGGATATCCATCAGGAAGCGTGTGTCGTCATCAGTGAGTGAGGGACATCGGTTTGTTGGCATCAACAGCATTCAGGATCTCCAGAAGAGACGTGGGATGCAGAGAACAGTGACACAGACAGTGACAGCGGACGACGTCTGAGGAGAGACAAGAGGAGAGACCGGGTCTGACGTGTAGCATTTAGATTTCATTGGGCGGCGGTGGTGAACGGATAGGCAGGGGGCGGGAGTAAGATTTCCGATACTGTAAGCTTTTCAGGATGTCCTGACAGAAACATATGAGAAAACCTGAAACGGTTGAACGTTTGTTATGATGACGTAGCCTCGTCCAGCTATCAAGTAGAAGCGGTGAGCGAAGAACATTACTTTTCTTCCATCCTTTCTGAAACGAGTATTGTCTTCGACATCATCCAACGCTAACTCACGTACGGTGTAGTCACAAATATGACGGTATGTCTCTTATTTGTTCGTATTAGGTTTGGAAGCTTTTGACTAAAATAGAAATATCTTCATCCCCTCAAGTGTTCGACTTAAACAATATTTATTCAGGCTCGCGAACCAGATAATACGAGGTTAAAAAGGTACATGACTATTAAAATAGTTCGCCCAGTGGGTAGTAGTGCACAATAGGATGTTTTTCCCCAGTTTCGAACCCCGATGCTAAATCAGTAACCCCATCCACAGTAGCGAGAAGGCCTTCTCGCTCCAGAAGCTGTCTCCAATGAGGAGAAATACCTAGATGACGTTGCCATATCCTCAAAGTGTTGCCATCTGCTTTAGGCTGGTTGATATAGTATGAAACCAGGTGGAACTCCAGCTCCTTTGTCAACAACGAGCAGTCATCGGCAAGGGAGGGTAGTTTCTGGCGTAGGTAGTCGAGCCGGCGAATGGACAAATCGAACGACAGCGCGAAATCGGGTTGGGAAATGGCCATAGGCTTCAGGGCCTTGATAATTTCGGTAGTTGCTTGAGTGAACAGATCGGATTGGTCCTCGATGTCAGCCATATTTGCATGGGATATCACGGAAAGCATGACATCCAGCAGGATACAGGGAGCATAAGCCTTTTTCTCAAGATTCCACCTGTCACCAAAGCGCGGGTTCTCAGGCGAAGATGGCTCATTACCATCTTCAGCGTTGTCTTCTTTGATCAAGGCGAGGATGGTTTTGAATATATTCTTGATCATCACTAGAACAGTATAATCAGTAATCAAGTCTTAGGGTGTTCGATGACATGACGTACTTTTAGATTGGGATTGATGAAGCTGCGGGAACTTAGGCACGTCACGCATCACTTCCCAACGATCCACCAATGCTTCCATTGTAATGCGAGTGAAATTATGATCCAGCAGCATGCCACCAATGAGAGGCCATAGGATCTGCATGTCAATGTATTGCTCATTGTACCGATCCAAGATGAATTGCAGCGCTGTTGATAGGTCTTCGGTAGCTGTCCCACTCCGTGAGACATAGCATTGGATTTTGTCGACCAGCAATGGAATCAACTTCGGCACGAGTGAGCGGCCATACGAAGAAGGAAGGCCAATTAGTCGATTAGTCGTCTCTGGCGCTGGCTCTTCATCATCGTCTTCATCAGTCCAAGGATAGCTTTCTCGAAGCTCGTGAATGCCTTCAAGACACTGCAAAACCTCGTTCAACGAGAACTCGGCATCGCCCAATGCCCCAATGACTAGCGAAAGGTGTTCGTCGGTTGGCACAAGCTCATAAGTTCCAAGAAGATATTCGAAATCGTGTTGTTGGGTTCCAGCAAGTACCTCTTCTTCTAGTTGTCTGGGTGAAAGATACTGAAAAACATCGGGTACGAAAACCCCTTTGATCGCTGTGATAGAGGCGACAGCAGCTGATTTAAAGCTTCTTGCAACAGATACAACGCAGTGTCCAAGCCAGCTTGTCGCTTCATTGAACCAACTTCGAGGATGCCATTCCCAGTCCATCTCGTAATCGTTAAAACGCCACTCCTGAAAGTTGGCATAGCCAGTAAAGAGGCGACCCCTGATGAAACGGAGAGGGCGATTGAGGAGAGGCGTTTTCCATGGACACCGGGAAGAAATCACAGGTGCCAGAGAGGAGACGACAAGAAGCCCAGCCCAGACGTAGACGAGGATAGCCACAGCGCTGTTCACATGTTCGTCTAGCGGACTGAGGAGTTCCTTCAGGCCAAGGAAGAATAATAGCACCGAAACTTGAAGCATGAGCGGCAGGGTGGCAACAGTCTCGAATACGCGCCATGTTTCCAAGCCTTCGAAACGACAGAATCGAACTCGAAGATACACCTCAGCGGAAGTGTCGTCTATCAGGGACTCGCGGAGCCACTGCTTGATGAGGATGCCGAAGGAGCCAGTGATGACAGTGAGGACGAGCCCATAGAACCAGAAGCCGTTGAGACGAGTGGATGAGACGACAGGAGACAAGGAGGACAGTTCAGGGACGGCCGGGGTAGAAGTGTTGGCTAGTTGTTGAGACATATAAACCAGAAGCTGAACAGTTATCTCAGCAGGATCGCTCTGGAGCCGGTGGTAAGATGCAACGATGAACGCTGCTTGTATGACCGAGAGAAAGCCCGCCTACCGTAGGTGATTAGATTATTGGATACATGGGATATAGAGGCGTCACAGCGACTTACAGCAACTAAGACGGTATCTAATTCGTTTTGAGCTTTATGGATCCGGCCCTCGTCGATCTTCCTGATACGCGTGGAGACCTTCATCATTGAATCTTGGGGGTTGAGTTCAGGCGGCTGGCGAGGTCCATAATCTAGTCCAGGGAAAGGATCAACAAGCCTAGGCATCTCGTCCTGCTCCTGTGTCGAGGTCATAAGCATTCTGACCCATAGTGCACCTGAAGAAGTGTACTTACCGTACCGGGAGGAGTCGAATACACAGGCCAATAGTCAGGTGGACCTTGTACAAAGCTTCCAGGCCCAGGATCTAACCATTTAAAAGTAATGCAACAGGGGGCATGTACCTTTCCAGGCCGGGTCAGGCTTCGAGTTGCGACGAGGGCATAGTTTGTTGTGAATGACCAGAGGAGGAGCGGAGGGGTTGTCGACTACAGTCGGATCGCTTGAAGTCGGGCTATCTGTCTGTGAGGATTCATGGGATGTTAGAAGGCAAGAATACTGGTCTCATCGTTTACGGATGCTCACCGACGCGGAAGGTCCTACCTCATCGAGGGGAGTAGGCGGATCTGCGAAAGGGAAGGCGGCCTTGAGGAAGAAGGGTCAGGAAATGCAAGTGACGACGTCGACAACGCGTACCAAACTGATAGCCATGATGCTACTTGCGCTAGACGATGAATCGGAATCGTTTATGGGGTGAGACATCTCCGATTACTTGTAACGCAGAGGGTACTAGAGAGGGGATGAGACAAAAGGGAATGGAGGACTCACCATTCCGACACAGAGCCTTTTATATCCTCACATCACGGCATGTACTTCAACAACAAAGAGAATACTCCGACACGGATGTTTCCACGAACTTATCCTCCTGATTGTTCAAGCTGTCAATTATCTCGAGTAAACGTCCATATTTGTGCTTCAACAGGAGGGAAATGGATTCATCCTATTTTCCGAGGTTGACAAAGCGAAATCTCGCAGGCTATTGCTAGCCGGGTCCCTGGTGGACAATCGAGGACAATGGATAATTCACATTCCCTTTGTCAAATTGGCTTGAATTTGACACATGGGGGCAGTGTGTTTGACCAGTCAAACGGTAGCATGAGCCTGAACGAGGTTGTTATGGCTGCACGAGGCAAGTCGGTTGTATGGTTTTAAACAGTATCGTGAGCTATAACACGACTATAGCCACCTGTAATTGTGGCGCGAGGAATGTTCTGACAATGAGTTCCTTATGAGTTATTGTGGCAGTGAGGGTAGAGATAATGCAATTACGCACAAGGACTCGGACAATAGTGAATGAGTAGGATAAATCCTGCTACTAATGAGGTGTGATGGGTTTTTCGAACATCTCCTCAGTTTATGTTACAGCGTCATGCGGCCATTCGAAAACGC